CTGTCAGTACTGAATAAAGACCTGGTCTCATGAATCACCCATCCTCATCTGTCTGTCTAAGCCGGAGAGCAAGAACAGCCGGCAGCACATCTGTGAAAAGCGCTACACGTTCCTCTCTCTGTCTGTCTCTCCGTCTGTCTTTCACTCTCCGTCCCTCACTTCTCACCCATCTCTACATTTAAAATACATAAAATCATCCATTTGCATCTCAGCAGCAAGTAAGTCAGGACCCTTGAGCCCACAGAGCAGCTGATGTACAGACATCACATAGTCAAATTAAAACACCATAGGCATGGTGTTTCAATGCATATAGCTACAATAATTGAGAATTGAAATTTTTTTCATCTCTATTCAGCCTTTGCATTCAATTTATCAAAGCAATAAGCCACAAGAAACTGCTTCATGGTAATTATTTGGCAACAGTGTATAGTATTATGGTTGATTGAGGTAATTAGTTAAATATAAGTATTTGGCATGAAAGACAACACGGATACATTTAAAAAGAAACATATTAAAGTCGATTTTGTTTATCTTTTCAAATCTTATTGCTTAAATTTAGTTCATTTTTTTCGAACTATAGACTGTTTGCAGTTGCCATGCGACATAGCATCTTGGCACATTAATATGTGCAGTTTATACCGCATAATAATCAATACTGCATAAATCTATAAACCTCGACCTCCTTTTGAAATTCAAATACAAACTTAAAATTCTCAATATGGACAAAAACATCAGTTAATCAGTTTCACAAACAACACTGTTTTCCACATTTTCCTATGGAATCTTGGTCACTAGTCACATTGATGTTTTCAGCGAAAGCAAAGGTGCCGCAACAATTCATGACCCGTCAACCCTGATACTCAGGACAATCCACCAGCCTCAAAGCACTCGATACTTTGACTACTACAAATATCTCTTTCTAATACAGCACACATACACACTCCGATTCCCTCTCCAAAGCCACAATCTCGCCCTGTCTTGAAAAAGCATTACGGTTGCAGGACACAGTTGTCATTACATCAAAATATTCACATAATCACAAGGTTTGAAAGCAGAGGTTGTCAGTTTGGCTGGCCTTTAAACAGTTTTTCTTGCGTGATTGACAGTTTGACAGAGTGTTTGCTGAGCCTGACATTTTTACAACATGCAAATGCATCTTAGGTCTACCTTCGGTGCTGGTTGTTTGTGTTTTTCATACAGGAAAATGAGAAGAGAAGCGATACAATAAAGATGGTTTTGGAAAACGGTGATATCTCAAATTCCAACCTCTGTAAACCAAGTATTGCAGAAAATATAACCATGAATTATGATATCTTGTGAAGAAATAATCATTTTGGAGCAGAATGGGGGATATTCTATACTGCTTTCATACTCCAGTCAAGAAACATCTAAATGCCTCAGAATTGTTTGTCTTTTGAGAGAACATATGGACACTTAAATGTAATCTCTGTCCATTCATTCCATCCAGCAACAAATGTGAATTTCTAGAAATGTCACCAAAGCTCATAAAAGCCCAATCTGTGCATTTTGCTGATCTGCTTTGATACTCAGATTTGGAGGTAATGGAATCCCCCCGAGTGCTCAGTGGGCCACAATAGCCCTCCATTTAGGATGAACGTGATTAAGAAATACTGTTGTTCTCTGATAAGCCTCTCGGCTGCAGCTCAATTATTTAGTCAGGAGTCAGGACTAGCTTTACGAACATTGCTCTATCTACGCTCTGAATGGCATTGAAGCTAAATCGGTCATATCTAAATAGCCAAAGCATTTATTGTCAATGGTGGCAAAACTCCTCTGATGTGCTGCTTTGAATCAAGAATAGCATGTACCTCTATAATTGTTCTAAAGTCTGTACAATAAAATCAATTCCAATTCAGGATCCAATCCCAGTAAAGTGCCTCTAGCAAGATTAGTTAAGGTAAGTGGTGTGATCTCGAATTGCTTTTTGCCCTCTCATTTGAAGGTGTGAGGTTACAAGAAGCCTTCGCGCTTTCAATTGAGGTGAACCTTTAAACCACCCCAGACCGTCAAGATATTAGATAAACAGGATTTCGTAATTGACTTACATTGTGATAAAAAATGTCTCATATCCTCTTGACCTGATCTGTGAAAGTGAGACTGATTTTTACTGTGATGGACACTTTATTATTTGTCCTCAAATATGTAAATATGTTGGGTTTTTTAGATAAAACTTCATTCGTACTCATGACTGGTTTAATAGCAACATAAATACACTATTGAGGATGCAGTGTAGGTACATTTGCAAGAATTTATTATCAACTAATATTGAAAACTACTCTGAGGTCAGAGAGAAGTAGGTCTTTACATGTCCTAAAAGGGATAAAATGCTAAAAAGGCAATGTCAAAAATACAAAACAAAAAATACAACTAACAGATAGCACTGTAAATGTCAACATTTTATAGGGATGAAAAAATGCTGCTGTTGTCAAAAGATGTCTCCCGTAAAACTGCAGTATTTTATTGCAAATATATTTTACATTAACAGTAGGTTAAATCTAGCCAAATTAAGCAGTTTCTTGAAATGCCCCCCTTGAAAAGCATCATCAAAATAATGCAAACTTAAAAAATAATGACCCAGACTTCATTTAATACTGACCACAATGTGTTGTGTGCAGTGAATCATTGGCTATCGCAAGCTTGAAACGATCAAAACAATTCTGGTACTGTGTTGGGCTGCCAATTGATAAATGTCCAAATCTCTGTCCCGCAAACATTACGTTCAGAAGATCTGTGCTAGCAATCCATCCCCTGTGTGTCTACTTTCTGGAATCTTAGTTGCATCCAATGAGAATTAAATTAAGCACAGGATTTGCTGAAGTTGTTTTGCACCACTTAATAATACACTGCCAAACAAACCAGTGGTTAAAACCTTCACCTGCAATTCATTTTGATTGCCCACCATGGTGAATTAACCAACGCAAGTAAACAGTAGGAAAAAAAGCTAACAATACAAATACTCTGACACAAATCTTCCATTTTTGAGTGTCGTATACATAAGGATTATATTATATTGTATTATAATAATGTTTACATTTTACTGCATAAAAAAATATTGAAATAGTGTGTACATTAAAATCGTTTAGTGCATAGGTAGTTCCAGTCAGTTTTATCAGTTAATTCTATTGCATTACATTAGGCTATTACTCAACAAGGATGTTAAAATGTCACTGTTTTTAAAGTGACATCATCGTGGACTTTCAATGAATGGACAAAAAATAGAGAATATTAATATTAAAATATTTATATTATATGTCATATTGGAATAATATAATAATATTTAAAGTATAGATAATATTAAAAATATCTTCACTTGTTACAAAGATTAAAAAAAGTAGTATTTGTTTGGAACTAAATGAGGGTGAGTAATAACAGAATTTTAATTTTTAAGTGAACTGATCATTTAACCATTTTAAAATTTAAATGTAAGTTTAAAGTACTGGAGCAGCTATATAAAGTAAGGACAAGGCTAAACTGAAACCAAGCAGAATATTATGGAATAAATGTACCCTTGTTTATTTTTAAAGGGTTTAATGTTATGAGGGGTGGATCTAGAAAGGATGGCAAATGGGCGGCATGAGGTCTGTGAAGGGTGGCAACACCAAAGCAAATGCCTTAGTGGACTTATGGCCTGACATACACTGTGTATTCACAAATAATAATCTATACTGTTTAAAAATTAATAACAAAATGTCAATATGCAGGGCACCAAATCAATCAAAAACACTGTATATCAAAAACATCAAAAGATTCTAAATGTATGAGCTTGTAATAACTACTACTTAAAAAGTAGTTTTATTAATAAAATGTAAATGGATAGTAAAAATCACACAAGTATTGATGCAAGTTTAAGAGAAAAAAAAAGCTTTGAATTTGAATTGGCTATGCTAATATTAGAAAGAAATGGCAAAATATCAAACCACTGAGACTGGATCAGTTTTGCAAACGATGTGTTTCTGTTATTAACAGGTGGAAATGCCTTCATGTGGATGTTATGGAAGGCCAACCATATACTGTAGCAACATCCCATCAGCTGTATAGCAAGGGCATAGCAACCAACCAGAATATTCTAGCAACCACACCTAACAACACCTTTGCACCCAGAACATCTATCAGTTCTGACCCAACATCAAATTGTTTGCCATTTTTTAAACAAGACTTTAAGTTGGCTTTAAAACAAGCCAGCATAAATTTTATCTTTCAAACTTTTCAGTTCAGTTAATAAAGATTGAATTCTTACCTAACCTAAACTCTGCTACCAGTTTCCGTGTTCAGAATCTTCCCATTAATTTCATTACATTTTTCCATTAGACGGCAAAAAGGCTTATATCCACAATGAAAGTGGAGGGGGGCGGTCGGAAAATGAATTCGCCAAACAAAACGAAATCCCGGACAAAACATATCCGGATGAGATTACATTTCTCAGGAGACCTTTGAGTTAACCAAGAAGCAGTCATTTTCCGATTCACAAACAAATGGAAAAACCAAGAACTCATAAAGAACCAAGAAAGCACAATTAATGGAAAGACGTGTTTTTTTGCCATTATTTTTTAAGTGGTGCTCACTATAGAATCATGACATCCAGTTCCACCTCTGTGGGTCTAATGGGTGGAGCATGGCCTATAAATGTTAAGGGTTCGGGTTATGGGTAGGGTTATATGGTGTGGTTGGACCTTTAAGCTCCACCCATTAGATCTGCAGTGAACAGCCTCTCTTATTTTGCGGTGCACTGTCTTTAAGGACATGGACGCACCCCTGCTGAGGTGGGTGGCAATGCTTTTTCTTAGGGTTGCAGTTGCCGTCCCGTTAGATCCTCCCCTGAGTGTGATGCATCTGAAGTAGTAGATAAAACTTAGTTTAATCCTTTATGGTGCAGCCCACCCTGATAAATGCATTCCTGAACTTTTCCCCCCACAGAGATTTAAAAAAAGAAAAGTCAGAGTGGACGATGAAGCAGGAGCTGGACAGAAGGAAGGACTCACCGAGGATCTGTATGTTGGTTCCAGGAGGGGCCAGGTGCTGCTGGATGGTCTCGTAGAAAGTGGCCTCACACATCAGCAGGACTGTCACACTGACCCACACCCACACCAGCCACGACATCCCAACACTCCTCTGAAGATAGACAGAGCGAGCGAGCGAGCGGTCAGTAACGCCTTGATTTCTTCCTCTCACTTCAATTTACTCCTACATAAGTGCAGTGAATGCCATAAGGTGCATTTAGACCTGAAATTTCAAATTCAATCTGAAAATAAATCATCTTTTATGTGTGCGTGAGAGAGTCTGACAGAACTAGAGGAAATCTTTCACAGCTCCAGTCTTCATGTAGACTGAAGTGTGTCTATTAGGCCACGTTTAGAGATGAAAGTGCTACTCGGTTTCTTTTCCTCGCTACCTGACAGCAAGCCTCAAACCTAATGTCTCCAATTGTCTATTTGTATTAATAAATAGAAGTTGTGACTAAGCAGTCACAATTTCTTCAGATAGCGTGAACTGAAATTGAATGTCATAATATAGTACTATAAAAATGTCTGGAGAACTTGTGAAAAAAGCCAGGCATTCAGTCTCACGGCATATGCTTCCTAATGAAGCTTCTAATAATCACTGAATGCGAGACCAGCTCACGGTATTCATGCTGATCTGAATAAAAAAAAAAAAAACATTTTCCATGCATCAAGGTAAAAACGTTTTATATTTGTTTTTTTCTGAACAATTGCTATTGAATCAGATGCAAAGAGGAAAATAAAGCTTGTTCTACTGTACCTGTGTCATTCAGGGACAGTCGTAGGAGAACTCAATACTTTGTCCTCAATCCATCCATTGCGAGGTGTCTAGATATTCCCGGGTCCAGGTATTGTTGTCTTGTAGAAACTCTCAGTTCTTCTCACTTTGAAGCCTGAAGCTGAAATCAGGGACACTGTAGGACAAACAAAGAGCGAAAGACAGAGAGAGCGCTATGATCTAAAACACGGCAAACCCGCTCTAACACTAGAATCGCCTCTTCACTCCCCTGAGCCACAGAGATGATTTTCCGCTTCACATTTAAACACAACTGAAGGGCGGTACTCTCTCTCTCTTCCTCCCTCCCTCTCTCCTTCTCTCATGTCACTCTCCCATTTCATCTCTTTCTCCCTCACACACTTTCTCTCTGTCTCTTTCTCTTAGTCCCTCACTCAATCTTTCTCTCCCTCCTTTGCACATAATAATTTTTCCCGATACACGAGAGCTCCTTGCTTCAAGCTATATGTGATCTCTCATCTAAAACCTGCCTTGATCTAACAGCCGCCTGAAACTGGGAAATGATGCCGGGCATTTGTGTCGTAGTATAACTTTCCAATGGGTGATGTTGAACTGACATTTATAAGAAATGTTTTTAGAGCAACACGAATCCCCCTTGAGTTGCTGAGGGTCGATATTTTTCGCTCAACATGCAAACAGATTGGTTGTGATCTCAGGAAGTCGCCGCTTTTTAAGCTCTTTTCCTCAGCTTGTAATTGAGCCCCAGACCTTGACAGACCTGGAGTCACTTGCATGTCACAGACAAATTGCTTAAGCAACACTGTTATGCACAAAAAACCTTTTACTGTGTTTTTTTCCCCACAACCGCTACAGACAATAGACTTGAGATACAATAAGAAGGTCCAAAAAATTAATGTGGAAATATAGTCTCATCAAATCAGTTGAATTTTGAGATTAGAAAAATGAGTTGTTTTTGGTTGTGGCCTCATTTATTTGAAAGACATCTCAAATTATCTTGAATAAATATATGTAAAGCATGCACGAAATTGGAAAATGGTATTTGTCCTGTAACAGTGACAAACATGACTGTGTCTGATATATTTTATGTGGTAAATAGTTTGGTTTTAATTGGTTATAACAGCAGTAAAACTGAAAGATTTTTTAGTATTAACGAGAACATGCATACATGCCTTTGCAATTATATATATAAAATCAACTAATCACATGGCAGTTGCTTCAATGGATTTAGGGGTGTGGTCCTGGTCAAGACAATCTCCTGAACTCCAAACTGAATGTCAGAATAGGAAAGAAAGGGGATTTAAGCAATTTTGAGCGTGGCATGGTTGTTGGTGCCAGACGGGCCAGTCTGAGTATTTCACAATCTGCTCAGTTACTGGGATTTTCACACACCGCCATTTCTAGGGTTTACAAAGAATGGTGTGAAAAGGGAAAAACATCCAGTATGCGGCAGTCTTGTGGGGGGGAAATGCCTTTTTGATGTTAGAGGTCAGAGGAGAATGACCCGACTGATTCAAGCTGATAGAAGAGCAACTTTGACTGAAATAACCATTCGCTACAACCGAGGTATGCAGCAAAGGATTTGTGAAGCCACAACACATACAACCTTGAGGCGGATGGGCTACAACAGCAGAAGACCCCACCGGGTACCACTTATCTCCACTACAAATAGGAAAAAGAGGCTACAATTTGCAAGAGCTCACCAAAATTGGGTAGTTGAAGACTGGAAAAATGGATTCCAGTCCAGTATTCCACCTTAAGCTTTACCACCTTTGGTTGCCTGTAATGGGATTTGATGCTCCTTTATTTGTTTGTAAAGCAGACCTTCAGACCATGGTTATGTGTTGTGAAATTGCTTGAAACCATCACAACCTTGGAGAAATCCCACTCAGCCTGCCTACTGACTCGCTTCCACCTGCTGGCTGCTCTGAACCTGATATCCCTCCCACTAAACACTAGTCATTGCAGTCCTTCTGTATAACAGGTATCTACAAAAAAGACAGCGCTTCTCTGAGTGGAGTTTGTCTACTCGATATACCCTCTCACTTTAGGGAGTAGATTGCTAAACCAGGACTCCTGAAGCTGTCTGAACTCAGACCTTCAGCCTCTCTCTGCCAACTGGAGTTTTCTTTGCTATTCTTGTCGAGTTTGAGTTCGGATTTTGGACAAGTACAAGCTTATTTTGTCTTTTGTCAACATCTTAATGTTACTCTCTCCCTTTTAAGCCCCTGTACAACTACATCCAAACCATTAATTGTGAAGTAGGTTTTAGAGCTGTCTCTTAAATAGTTAAATAGATTTTGAAAAGTAAGACATGTTCCTGGATCAACATATTTTGTTGATCCTTGATCAACATTCCTGTCCCAAAATGTAGTACTTCACCTCACCCTGGTTCTAAGCCTAAACTTGACATAAACTGTAAACTTGTCCATCAAATCTGATTGGTTAATTGAAAAGATCCTGGAACATGTGGTATTTGGTGAAATCAAGTACCCTATTTACAACCAATGAATTTCAACTCCTGTCAGAATCTGATTAAAAATGAGTTTTAGTCCTGTTCCATTCATTATTCCCTGGAACATTTAATAATTTAAAACAGCTCTAATCCACTAAACATTTAAACCAAATACATTAACGCTTGTGTACAGAATTTGCATTTAAAGGCAAGAACTTGCACCAGGATTTTTTTCTTTTCTTTTTTTTTTTGTGCACATTTAGCTAATATCACTGTACTCACTTACACTATAAAATATGTCAAATTCAGGTGAAATTTATTGTAAATTCAGTATCTTATTGTAAAATTACATGAAATGTCCCATTCAATCAATATTAAACATTTTCACCATATAAGGAAAGTTACCATAAAATTAATTAACAGTACCATAGCATTTTTACAGTACAGTGTAAAACAGCAAGCATGCTTTACACTGAGTTTGTAATGGTAAAACAAAGTTTTTGCAAAATGAGCTATAAAATGCATTGATATGTTGGACACATCATTCAACAGCATTTGTGATACATTTCAAAAACATTGCCATTGGCGTGCATGTGGCTTTTTATGTAGAGGTACAATGAAAAAACATAATTTTTTGAAGAGGTCAAATAGATTTGAATAAAGTATATGCTTTTGCAAGAGATGAATAGGGAATACTTTCTTACAGTGAATTTTTAAGGATCTCATGTAGCATAATGATTTTCTAGTCATTTTGAAATATTTTTTTTCCATTATAGATCTATGTGCTGCAGCATCGGTTTGACATCACACAAAAGATGTGTTTTTGGTTGAGATTTTTTTTGTTTTTGGTAAATGTGATGTTTATCAGGCATTATAGGAAAAAAATAGCTTTTTATGCTGTGAATTTTATGAATAAATGAATGGATTAAATTCAGTTTCAAAATCTTTAATTAAAAACTAAATATAAAAAATATATTTTTTTACAAAAACCTAAACCTCTGTATGTTCTAAAATCTCTGGACTTTTGAATTGATTGTGATATTTTTTATCAAGCTTTATTAAGAGAGCAGCACTTCAGTGATTTTAGGAAGATAAACCTGGTCAAATAGTACAGCATCAGCATCTCTCCTGATTCCCTTGTTACCCTTAATCTATGAGGTGTGTTTAGAGAGACAAAGCACCAGGATATTGCCAAGGGAATTCAGAATCAAGATGTTATTCTTTGGGTAACACTGAAATAAAGACATTTCAGCAAAACCAGGGGACCATGTACGACAAATCCCAGAGGAAACTAGAGAACTCGTGGTATTGTAGAGAGAGAGAAACAGAAATGTGCTATAGTGCTGATAAAGCAGGCTTTTCATAATGAGCGCATTGAAACTTTGAAATATTTACACATTTTGAGGTGTGATTGATGTGGATTTTAACAAAAGGGAAATCAAAGGAAATGCGTATGTCAATACCTCCACCGCCAGTGGGAGAATTAAACGTCAGTCGGATGAGAAGATTTCTGTATGCAATGGAATTAGATTGAAACTCATTATCTCATGAGCACAAATCTCTCTCCTCTGATTCTTTCTAATGGCTGACAGTTACATTTCACAGTGAACCTGCTAGATACACTATCTCACTTCTAACACAGTCTATCTCTCAGCCGGTTCTCCCATCAGTGACTTCTCCTACCTGCCCTGAAGAGATTACTAATGACAGCAGAAAAAAACACTTTGCTCTTTCCTCCACACGTCCTTGCTGTGAATATGCTCAATTAGATTACACTTTTTTTTTTGGTTTGCCAGGGATTTGCATTGGATCTCGTCATCCTCGTCAACGTCATCCATGTGAATCTAGTTCTCTAAATGGATTTTTAGATTCATTAGGGAAAGTCAGTGGATGACAGGTGAATTTCAAATGGTGTAAGAGTTTCTGAAACGCCAGTTACCAAAGCCAGCCAGGTGTGATGAAAAGTCTGATTAAACAGCTCATATCTGCACGTCGTGTCTGACTGAGCGTGTTTAGGTCAAGAGGCCACGGTTAAATAATTTAACACGTTTTAATATCTTGTCTGAGAGAAACGTGGCTTGCGTTTCTTCTGCTCCAGTCTGCTGAACTCAACGGCAAATGATAAATTGTCACTTGTCCTCAAGTCGCTCTGGTTTATTCTATACCTTCTGCGGCATAAGAATGCTGTGTTCATGAACTCGAGACCTCTGTCAAACAGCATTATGAACAACATAAAGCATCCCTGAGAAGTGCTCGCACCACGTGACGTGTGAGACAAGACTCCTGTAACTGTGGTGTAGTGTGCAGTGAGCAGGTTTTGTCGGCAGTAAGTGAGTTAACCGGATATGTGTGGGCACCGAGGAGCTGTAGGTGAGCTGAAAAATATGATGTTCTTTTCTTATGAGCTCCAGGCATCTGGCACCTGCTCTGATCTCTCAATGGAGGGATAGATACCCCGTGGGCCTCACACACACACTTGGACACACTCATCTTACCACGTAGTACATCTCACTGACAAGTGGTGTCTGAGAAAGGATGAGAGGGACTTGATGAAAAGAGTAAGGAAGATGGAAGGAGCTGGAGGGGATGACAAAATGGTCATCCCATCCAGGGAGTGATTGTCAATGGCCATTTTAGCCAGTACTGGATATAGATAATCCTCAGTACCATTGACAGCAGCAGCAGCAGCAGCCTCCCTCAGTCCGTTCAGCACTGCTGCTGAGTGGACGGCTCCTGCGTATTCAACTGCAGAAGCCTATCAGCTCTAATTGGTTGCGGCTCAATCGAGGAGAGAGAGCAAGTGTGAGCATATGCTGTACTTTAACCAAGCATTTGCACTTTGTCCGTTGCTGTTGTTCC